CTCATTGATTTAGCTAGACTGGCTGGGGTCTACTTGTTGTCTTTCTCCGCATTTCCCACTGTCAGTCCTGGGGTTATAAGTATGTGCTACCACATCTAGCTTGTTGTAAGTTTGGGGTATTTACATGCAGGTCCTTGTGTTTGTAGAGCAGGCGCTTCACTGATTAAACTGTCTCCCCAGCCTCAAATATTCTTTCTCGAGTATAGTGATCTAAATCATTGTTTAACTAGGTTGGTTTTTTAATATGCTGTATAGCAGTATTGGGCTAAGTGGTAGAGTGCCTGGTATGTGTCTAGGGTCAATTCCCAGAACTATAAATAAAATAAAAAAACATATTATGTAGCTAATTTTATTGTATTCTGGTTATTGCTTTCCACTAATCTCTTCTTTCCATTGACAGTTTCTTGATCTTTGTACATATGAGCCAGAGCACAATTCTTCTAAAATTTTTTTCATATAATATATTTTGGTCATATTCTTTGCCTCCCTCAGCTCCTCCTTTATTCTACTCACATACATACATACACACAAAACAAAAACAAAAAAAACCTTTAAGACCAAAACAAAACATAAGGCACCCCCCACCAACTAACCAACCAACCAACCAACCAACCAACCAACCAACCAGTAGTCCAATTTGTGTTGGCCAACTACTTTTGAACATGAGACCTGCACTGGAGTATGGTTTATATCTGTACCTAGTTTCAGTTAATTGAAGAAAGCTTATTTTCCCCATACCAGAAACTATCAATTGTAAATAGCTTCTTGGCCAGGGGTGAGACTTTGTGCCCATTTGCCTCTGTTTTTGCTAAGAATTTCCTGACTCGAACTTAATGCAGGCATTGTACATGCTATCACAGTCTCTGTGAGTTCATATGTGCATCAGCTTTCTTGTGTCTGGAAAATACGGTTTCCTTGAAGTTGTCTATTGTCTCTAGCTCTTAGAATCTTTCCACCTCCTCTCCTGCATAGATCCCTGAGCCCTGACGGGAGGGATATGATAACAATATCTCACTTAGGTGAGGCTAAGTCCTCCAAAGTCTTTCACTCCCTGCACATTAAACAGTTGTGGGTTTCTCTGTTAATTACCATCTACTGCAAGAAGAAGCTTCTCTGATGTGGGTTGAATTATACATTGAAATATGAGTATAGCAATATGTCATTAGGAGTCATTTTATTTTTATATTCATTTAGCAGAGTGATAGTAGTATGTTTTCCCCCTAGAGCCCATGACCAATCTGGATTCTTGGCCTCATTAACCATGTTGGCTATGGGTTCTGTCTTATGGAGTGGGCTTTAAATCCAACCAAAGGTTATTGGTTACTCCCATAATGTTTGTGCCACTATTATACCAGCAAAGTACAGTTCTTAATAATTAGTTGGGTAGAATCACTATTATACCAGCAAAGTACAGTTCTTAATAATTAGTTGGGTAGAATCATAGTGATTTTAGAATCCTTTTATATGCTTACATTCAGAGAAAAATGTGAGATGGGCCAGTCTTCATATTGTGTAAAGTCATAATATTGGTTCCCTGTGTAACATTTTCTCAGTAGTCTGTGGGAAGCAACTCATTTGTGAAACCAGTAGTGGCAGAAATAAACACGTAGTAGAAACTAAAGGCCTAGTCTCTTCACCTACTGTCTTTTAAGGAAGCTGAGTACAGTGGCATGTGCCTATGGTTCTATATTTCCTTTTCAAAAACAAACAAGCAAATAAGCCCCCAAAATCTCCCCTGACCAAAACCAAAACAACCAACCAACCAACCAACCAACCAACCAAAAAGCAAAAATAAAACAAAAAGCAAGAATCAGGGAGAGGGAACAAGGAGGAAAGGAGAGTGAGGTTGAGGTTATGTTGAGTGTGACCTGTTAGTCACTCTACCATGACAATCATTTTGTTTTTCACCAGTTATGCTTCCTCTGTGGTAAAAATAAAAATAGAGCAATGTCTGGTTGTAGTTTTCCTGCCCGAGACTTAGGCTGTGCATGTGTTCCACCTGCTTGTCTGGAATGCTCTTACAAACTTACTGCAATGCTCATCGAGATGACTATGGACAGATGGTACGAAATATTATTGAATCCTAGGTTTATTTAAGTTAGTTGAATGGGTTTGCTATTTTGAGTGATAGGAAAGTTTTTTTTCTTCTATAGCTTACCCCCCTTTCTCTTTCTTCCCCACCTTCTCTTCTCCCTGCTCTCTCTCTTTCCCTCCATTCTTCCTTCTCTTTCCCTGTTCTCTCCCTCCCTCCCCTCTGTTCTGTCTTCCTCTTTCTCTCTCCCTCCTTTCCCTTCTGAGTCTTATGTAGCCCAGACCAGCCTAAAACTCCTGGTTCTTTTGCCTCAGCCTTCCAAGTGCTGGGATTATAGGCATGTGCCACCACACTCACTTTTTTTGGAATGATCTACTTTGAGACAAGTGTGTATTTATGTGTGGACATATAGGATTTGTTTATGTTATGAACATACAGGATCTATGTGTAAGGCAAAGAGAGAGGGGAGAACTTTTTAAAATTGAACATCACTGCAATGCAGCATCACTTACTTGTACTCTTGCAGAAAAGAACCCGAGGGAACCTTTTTTAGGTTACTGTCCTTTTGGACAGATAGTGAAGGCTGGCTTAAAATTCATTTTTTAGTGACCTCAAATTCAATCCCTATGCCTCACATCTCCTGAATGCTAGGTGTTTAGGTGTGATCTGCCACACCTAGTGAGAACTCCCAATTCTTAGTTTTTATTTTTAATTTAATTTTATTTTTATTAAATTGTTAAAAGGCTTAGTTTTGCTCAGAGAAACTAACCATTGTATACAAGTTTTTCTCTTGTCATTTAGCATTGTCTTTATGTGATTTAATTAGACTATTAATCTGGTTTTCGGAAAGTAGGTAGATGGATATTTTGAAATCTCCCAGTTAAATTCAGTAGATTCTTCACATGATCAGATATAAAACACAAGGAGGGCTTGCTCAGCATTTTATTCAGGCCCCTCTCCACATGTTGCTTCTGTTGAAGCATCTTCAAAATAATGCAGTGTTGCTAGTAACTCCAAAGCATTCTCTCAGCCTCTTAACACCTTCACCAGCTCTTTATTGCTCCACAGTTCTGATTGCACTTATTCCTGGTAGACTGTTGTGTTCCCTGCTGTACCTGTGGCTCCTAAAATAGTGTATGGCTGTGTAAGATACTCAAGAATGAATTCTTGTTATTAATCTGTCACCCCAGTTAAGATAAAGGCTTTATGACGGTGCTCACCAAGGGGGGACTTTCTGTTGTTTGTTTAAAAGAGTGATAGGCACAAACTATGAGTAGTGATTCAATTTGTTTTTTTTTCTATTTATATACATATATATATTGTCACTTTAGTTTTTATTATATGTTTAACTTGTATAAAGCTTTTTTTTTTCATCCAGAAATAGAGTCCAAAGAAGGGTGTAGTGTTATAGTAATATCTGGAACCCACATAGTCTACTACTACTTTTTGCTGATGTGGCTAGGCCAATTTACATATAAAGTTGCAGGTTTTCTTCAGCAACTCAACCAAACACAACTTATTTATTTATTTATTTATTTATTTATTACTTATTTATTTATTTTGCCATACTCGTATAGATGGGAAAGAATATTGTCATGTTACAGCCTCATGTTACAGAGTTCTGAACCAAACTCTGGTCCTCTGTGAGAGCAGCATGTGCTCTAAACTGCCAAGTTTTCTCTCCAGCCCCAAGGCTTTATATCTTCATGAGAACATTTTATAAACTCTTACATCTAATTTTGTCTTTTCCACAGCATCTTCTGTTATTGCGATAGCACTTGCCTTTATCTCAGTTCCTCCTATTTTCCTGGGAGTTCTTAGGTTTGGACTTTGGATTGTATCCCAGAGTTCTTGGGTGTTGTGGCCATATTTGTTTTTTCTTTATTGATGTTTGAATGTAGAATGCCATCAACTTGCTCTTCATCTCCAGTATTTTCTTTCCTGCTAGATTGAATCTGTGGGTGATGGATGGTATGGAGTGCATTTTTATTTGATTCATTGAGTTGTTAATTTCCAGTATTTCTATTTGTTTTTGTTGTCGCCGTCTGTTTTAAAAATCTCTCAATTTTCCTTGCTGACTTTCTCATCCATATTGCTGATGATCTCATTCATATTGCTAAATTTTTTTCCTGAGGTTGCTGACTCCCATTCTAGGTCCTAGATTGAGTTTATCTGTATCATCTTTGAAGTCACTGATTGTTTTCACTAGCAAACTTTTGAAATTGTCATCTAGTGTTTTACCCACTTTAGTATCTTTGATTTCAGTGCTCAAGGAGTTAGAATCTTTTGGAGAAGCCATGTTACCTTGCTTTTTCACGTTTCTTACGTTTCTGTGTTGTGGTTTATGTATCTGCTGGTATAAGTACCTCTCTGAGTTTGATTTGGGATCTTCTATTGAGCAGCCTACTCTCTGGGCTCAACTCCATGTAGCCCTCTAGAGAAGAGAACATTTGCTTTTGGATGATGCTTCTGTCTCCCCCCTGGCCCCTTCCCCCAGCCTACCTCCCAGTGTTCTACCATTATGTTTTTGAATTTCTGAAGCTCCGTCTCTCCTCTCTTTGGAACAGAGTCTATCTTTCCTTATTCTGACTATTTTTCTCTTTGGTCACATGGAAGCAACTTGGAGTCCACTGTCTTATCTGGAAGTTATTCTTAGTGAGGTCCATGGGAAACACTGTGGCATACCTGGGTGAATTCTTTTATCCTTTCCTTACATGCTGATTGCTTCTATGTGGTACAATTTCATGAAGCAACATGGAACTTTCTAGTATTCTAGGCTTTGGGGAGAGGGGATGAAAATGTAGATCAGAATCCTGAGAAGGTAGCATCTTAAAGACTTGAGTACCAGCCTAGCATTGCTGGCTTATTTATTTACCTAGGGTAGTCTATTCCTTGGGAGAATAAAGGTCTATTTTTTCCCCAATCACATGTTACGATTTAGAAGAATTTGCATTTCTCCTTTCTTCAGGCAGTTAAAGCAGAGAGCAATGACAGAGAAACAGAAGCTACTTATGAAGCTGATGTCTCTGAGGAGTGCTGTGGACATCACCTCCTGCAGCAGTCCCCCAAAGCCTGTAATAGTCCTGATGTCGTTATAGAGGCTCAGTTTGATGACAGCGATTCAGAAGATAGACATGGCAACACCAGTGTGCTGGTTGATGGTGTTAAGAAATTGTCACTTCTTACTCCTGACAAAGGTGAGTGAGTCTTGGGCAGCTGTTTGACATTTTGTTATAGCAGATTTTTTTTTTTTTTTTTTTAAAGTTGAAACCTCTCTGTAACAAAGTAAGGAACTCCTAGAATGATGGTATTTTCCCAAAGTCTGTGGTGGACTGGTTATAAGAGAGAGGAAGTGCCACCCAGTGATGTGTGTGCAGTGGTTGCTGTTGCCATGTTTGTGATAGCTTTGAGTTACGATTGGTACTTAGCTGCAGTGTGTCAATTCTACCCTGTGGTCGATATGAACAGAATTATCCTCCCTTCCTTCCTTCTACTCTTCTCCATGCCTACCTTCCTCTTACCTAAAGCTTACACATGCTAGCTAAGTGCTCTATCACTGAGCTATGCCTCCAGCCAGAATTAAGCAAGTCTTAAAATCCTAATTAAAAACACAAACAAAAACTAAAACCCACTTTATTTTACCCTCAGTTTTGCTTTAGTTCAGTCTATAACTTAAAAATGTATTTGTCATTTGTAGTAGGCATAGATCACTTTGAATTTTGAAAATAGATTATTTTCAGAAGGTATTTTGATTCTAAGCCTTAAAAAACCAACAAAAACAAAACAAAGCAAAACAAACAAACAAACAAAAAAGTCTTATTTTTTTTCTGAATGACACATAAGCCATGAGTTCCATAACTATGTCAAGTTGCAAACACGTGAATCAAGATCTGTACCCAAAGGCTCTACCTAGCCACACTCCAGGAAACTTAAGGGCATATGATATTTGCAAGTTGAGTATTGCAGTATCTAGGTTTCTAAGAGGTTCTAAAAAGAAAAGGTATATTGCTAGCCAGATTGAGTTTTGTATATACTTGGAAATGGAGAAGAGTGAGCAATATGGACCTGGCTAGGTTGTTATTAGGACATTTCTGGCCCAGTCACCATGAAACACCAGGAGGAATGCCAAAAGATTACCAGAGGAGGATGTCTAGCAGACGACCTATGGTAAGATCCGGCAAGCACTGCTCAGATCTTGAAGGCTGGGCTGATTTCAGGAAGAATTGCAGAAACATGCTGTTTTTCTCTGTTGCTTATGACCTTAGCCAGAGAGTAGGCTCTGAAAGCATGTGTCGTTTTGGTGGCAAGGATTACTCATTCAGAGTGACTTCCCAGTTGTGAGATTCACTTTGAATGAGTAGTGTTTCTGTTGTCACTCTTGTCTGCCTCCATTTCCCAGGAACACTGACCTGCGGGGACTCAAGTTACTCTTGTTTTGTAGCATGCTTAGGGAACCAGTAATTTCATTCTTCAGGGATCAGGCAGTTGGATCTAAATTTGGATGGAATTCCTGAATTTTCTTTCTTCTGATTTTTCCTTTCCTTCTTTAAAAATAGTTGAATATCATCTTTAAGATAGAGTTGTATGCATGTTGTATACAACAATGTCCATACTAGAAGCTATGTCTTTTTAATGAGAAGAGAGGGATATAACCAGGACCCTAAATAGCCAGTTTTTTGTTTTTTTTTTTTTTAAATTAACAAGATCACTAAGAAGAAAGATCCTTACAGGACAGACTCAAGAAAGGGATACTTTAGAGTGTTTGATCAAAGCTACTTAGAAGAAACCCAGTTCCGGTGGCTCGGAAGACCTCAGTGTCCTCCTTTCCCGTGGACACTGGCACAGTCACAGGAATGATGAATGGAAGAACTGCAGATCGATGACCTGGTTATCAGTTATCTGGTTCTTTGTCCTTTGAGGAGTTCACTTCGTCCTTTGGGAAGCACTGCAGATCGATGGCCTGGTTATCAGTTATCTTGTTCTTTGTCCTTTGAGAAGTTCACTTTGTCCTTTGGGAAGCACTGGAGCCAGACCCGTGCTTGATGTATCTGTCAGCTGCTGTAATTCTTGTCTCTCACAGGAGAAGTTCATGGAGTGCTTCGAAAGTCCATGGCGCGTGTGTTTGTGTTTTCCTTCTTCTTTTCACATGTTCCTGGCCCACTGCTGTTTATGTTGCTCCCTCCGTAGCCTTGACTGAGGGAGCAGCTGTAATCCTTCCCTCAGTGTCTGGTGCAGATCCCTCGCTCGAGCTGCCTCTAAACCGCTTCACTAAACAGAGTTTGTGAAGCCACATGCCTGGGTCTCATTTTTTGCCCTTTTGATATTTAGGAAAATTGCAATTGCTCTTTTAGAAAATCACAGCATTTTTAAGGGTATTTCAACCATATTTTCTTGCTTAGGATAATATGAAGTCTGGTTACAGTTAAGATATTAGTACTTTTTTGTATCATTTAAGGTTTTGAAAGTTGTTATTGAAATAAACCATAATCTGAAGAACACTATAAACTTTCTCTAAGTCTTCTAAGAAAGGTTCTTTGCTTTGTATTGTACTTTCAAGTGTATTATTAATCCTAGTTCATGCTTGTGTTTCAAAGTGTTATTTTAAATACCTTGTTTCTTTACCTAATACAAATGCTACATATTGCGTGTGTATGCTTGGGTTTCTTTCTCTTTGGGAAACTTCAGCATCATCTTCTCTGGTAAGTGAGAACATAGCCCCAATCCAATTGTTTGTAGCAAAGACTCTTCAGTGAATTAAGAGAAATGACCTCTGTATATCTCAGACCCACCTGTTTCTCCTAGGAAGATGACATATTCATATACACGTATGAATAAATTAGAATACACACACACACACACACACACACACACACACACACACACACACACATATATATATATATATATGAAAGCTAGATGGAGAGAGAGAGAGATGGGGGAGGGGAAGGAGGGAAGAGCCACAGACCTGGCCCTGTTTGCAGATCCAGTTCCATGGCTTCTTGAAACAGCTTTTACTGCTCGGCCGACACAGACTCTTGTCAACATGACAGTCTGCCCTCACGGCTGGGAGTGTAGCTGAGTGAGAGAGGCACTTACCTAGGAGCCTAAGTCCCTGATTTGATCCTCAGCACTAGGAAAAAAGATCTGCTGTTGTGTAGAAGCTGAGGACAGCTTAATTAAATTTCACTGGTTTTAAATGCATCAGTGGCTTTGAAAAATGTTTTGGCAAAGATTGCCTAGTTAGCAAGTCCCAAAGGATAAAAGTCTTTGCCAAGTGATATATAGCTGTGTGTCTTTCATCACTGGTAAGAACAGCTTTGGCCTCAGAATCAGGTGATCTTTGAAGTACATTTCCTGCCTCAGCAGAGTCTTCAGAGACCTTTTCCAGTTTCCTTGTCTGGAGACTAGCCTCTACCAGTACCTGATAGGTGAGCATAGATTTGGAGTGTGATGTTAATGATACTTTTGCTTCAAATCTCCCAGCCAACTGCCACTGTTTTTCCCAAGAGGAGACTTTGTGAAGAATCCTTAATCTTTCCTGAGATTTGAATTGATCTATAGCCACTCCTCATAGGCTTGCCCAAGTCACCACTGGGAAGAAGACCCCCACCCTTCAGACCTTTCAGTGCCTTTGTCTCCTGTCTCTGTCTCTCCTTCCTTCTGTCTGGCTCAGGAGAGCAGACCTGTGTGATTATTCTGATGGGATTCTTAGAGTTATTGAAACCCCAAGATCCTCTTCTCCAAATTGTCTGTCAACCAATTTTCTTTCTCAAATCTGAATTTCTTCTTTTTCCAGATCTCCACTGTATATAATGATAATTAGTATGACTAAAAGACAGTCAATTTGCTTCAAAAATTAGAATAAATATTAAACACATAGCAATTTTCTATTATCTAAATTTTTGTACCAATCTTTAAAAATCTGTTTTAAAAAAGGTAAAACCTTGTCCAGACCTTTCTTTAAAAAAGGACGCAGTGGGAATTTTTGCTTCCCCATTTTTTACATTGGATGGATACTGCAGTAATATCTGGTAGAGAGATGATGGCCAGGACCTGTAATATCCTAAGTCCCCCACTCTAATCCCAGACTAGCCACAGCCTTCCCTGTAGAGTTTCCAGAAGAGATGCTTGCATTGAAACAAAGTGAGACAGGAGCTCACTTCTTCATTAATTTAAGCAAGGCCTTGATCCAAGTCAGAAGGATCTCACAGACTCCCTCCCACTGGCGGTGTCTGCCCTTTTTTGTCTTATCTCTGTCGATGAGTAGGGTTGTCCAGATCTCCACTTTGGTCCTGTTCTTTTAGGTAGTACTGAAGATTGAACCCAGGATCTCATATACACGAGGCAAGCCCTGTATCTCTAGACCATTTGACCATCCCCAGCATTCCAGTTTCTGTAGTCCAAACTGAAGTCTGTAAATGTCAGATTCTTTACCTACTAATATGTTGAATCACTCTACTTTTGATGATTTGTATAAATCCATATCTGTTCTCTGTAGTAAACTCTTTTCAGTTTAGGCATTGTAGATACCTTTTTAAAAATTTTGTCATTTAGTTATTTGTCTTTCATATTTTTCTATGGTATCAATGACTGAAAAAAACTTCAATTTTGGTGTTATCCCTTAAGTTTTCCCTTGTTTTTAGGTATTAGGTCTTTCCATACAGTAAATTTAAGGTTTATCTTTTGATGGGTTTTATGGTATATATTATTTATTGATTGAGATTATCATTTGGATATCTCTTCTAGTTTGGATATTGAACCATCCTTGAATTCCTAGAATAAATCTTGTGTAATCTCAGTGTATTACTGTTTTTTGCGTATACTATAAGGTTCATTCAGGCACCGTGTAGTGTATAATTTTTTTGTTTCATGTTCAAATAGATCTAAGATTTTCTTGCCACTGTGCAGTATTTAGAGACAAGATTATAATAGCTTCATAGAGTGGCCTCATATTTTTTTTCACTGGTTTTTGTTTTTTCCAGAATAGCTTGTATAAACTGTGGATTAATTGTTCTTTTTGTTTTGTTTTGTTTTGGTTTAAGATTGGGTAAAATGCATTGTAAAGTTATTTGCACCTTTTGTTTTTCAGAAAATGAGATTATGTTGTTTTCAAACATTGATATTTTCAAATTATGAATTTCTTCTTGTGTCAATTTTGGTATAATGTAATGAGAATTTATCCATTCAGATGTATTAT